AAATTAATATAACATAAATATTAATAAACTTCTAAATAAAGTTAACCAAAAGTTATGTAATTAATTACGCATCGTATGAACACCCTACAGATTAGGTATACACACACACACACACACACTCGCGCGCGGCGGCGTGTTGTTGTATCAGCACGCCGCCGCACGCGTCCACACTTTGAACACTTGGAACGTGTACACAGTTTATTTATTTATACGGAAATTTGGTCAAAAATTAAGTACCTATTTTTTTTACATAATTCGAATGAGAATCATGTACCGAGTATTCTCCTTAAATATTGATAGTAATTCACCAGTCACCCTGTATATAGATTAATTAGAAATATGACAACACCAATAATCTTATGGTACAATGACATTAAAATATTAAATTTCAAAAAGTGTATAAATAATAAATATATATGATTTGAAGCCCGGATTTGAGAAGTGTAAAGTCACTTCGTAGATTAAATTGTATCTTGATTAGTTGATACACGTACACGTCTAACTAACGAAACAGAATTTTATAACAGCAATAAAAAATATTATGACTCTACCATATTTACTTCCAGCATTGCTTTTCCTCGATTATGTTTGTTTTACTGTCTCCCATTGCTACTATAAAAGCGATTTTATATACGTTGATCTATTATAGGACATTTAACGCCAATATATTTCAAGGTTTATGAATTACGGGAATTTATTTAGTCAGTCGTCACAAGTTCATCTTCTGAGAGTCGATTTTACCTTAAACTAGCTACGCTCCTATAAATAGTATTGATATAAATTCATTTATTCGGTCATCTATTTATTCTTTAATGCGATCATTTAATGTATCTTCTATTTCTTAAATTTCATTTGCTACATTTCTATTCCCAATAACAAGGGAACGCGTGTCTACTGTCAATAGTTCAATGGTGGGCGATACGATTTTATTATATTTGTGTTTATTTTGCCGAGAACCTTCCCACGGGTGGATTTTTCTAGGAAATTGCGTCAGAATAATATAATAAAAATTATAGTTTATAATATTATTGAAATTAGAGTTATACTGTTTGTTATGTGTTACAAGAATTATTTAATTATGATTATAAATATCAATCGACAAACAATTTATTTTCTGTCTAAAACAACCCCATATAATTTTTAGTTCAACGCTCTACTAACTGCTTTAATTCTATATGTACCTCAAGAATATATATCACATGTACACTTAAAATAATTCACCTAATTAAAATTTTTAATAAAACTAATATTTTCAGATTATGAGATCTTATCTCGTCTGTCTGTGATCGCGGTAGATGAAAAGTAACCGAAACGTCGCTAGTATGTTGTTTTAAAATAATAAAATACGCGTAGTATAAGCCGTAAATATTAATTTTATTTAAATGAAAACTCGCGAAATTTTAAGAACTCATTAACAAAAAAATAATAACATTCAAACGTAAAATAAACCTATTAACAAAATATATGCTCGCTGAAGTCAAACTAAATGTTTGTTTATATTTAAGATAACATCTTGACTTTCAATATTTACTGAAAGATCACTGGCGACCTTCATTTTACAATTTCATTTTAATATTTATGATACACTATATATCATTAAAAAAATAATAATAGAGTATCGTAACCGAATTGCTATCACTTATAAAAACGTAATGAGTTATGTCTAGTTTTTTTCGTTGATGACAGCAAAGGTAATATGCCAATCTATAAATAATTTTCAAGATTTTTATTTATTTACCTTCAAAACGTTTGTGTGAGTGAACCCATTTTTATTATGCAGTTGTTAAATTTGTTATCGTCCACCGGATTAATCCTTAAACAGATTTATTTGATAAGATATAGGAACAATTCATAACACGCTGTTTGTTTAATCGTTTGTACCTAGTAAGTAAAAAAAATCCATTACCTTACCACAAATACCCAAACTATGCGTTGTCACACTACATACGAAGCGTTTGCTGTTTTTTAATTAATAACCTACTTTAAAACTATATGATAAATTTTATGATTTAAAAACTTTAGACGCTCTGTATGTATCGTGTGACATATACACGTAATAATAATAAGTATATAAGTTTTGATAATAAAAGTTTTATTTTAATGACATACTATAATAGCAATATGTGTACAGAGATATAAGAGGATTTATGGTCACCAAAATCTAAAGCATAGAATAGCTATGTGACAAAAGTTTTTATTTTAAGTTATTAAATATTTTTAATTACACTAAATATAAGAAGGTTTTGAATCCCAATACTATAAAATATTATAAAGTACTACCAATATTATAAAATACTTTAAAACAAATTTGTTATATTAAGTTAATTTCTCTCCACGCCATACGTGTATATGGTATTGAATTTATTTATTACATCATTACTAATTTTATTCATGAGCTCTTATAAAGAAACTTTAACCAATTTTAACCAATCAAAACGACGGATAAATAGAACAGAAACCCAATTCTATTTTAAATCTTTACTTTAGAATCATCTTAGATAAAGGAAAAATTTCCTTTGAATAAGAAAATTATTCCGATGAGACGGTAATGGAATATAAATTTTGTATGCGACGAGATCGGGGTACAGCTATATGATCTCAATGCGGAGTAGCTTATGTAAGGCTAGCGAGATCGGTTCTAGGGAGGAACATGCTCCATCATTCGTAAACCCAAGAGCCATTTAATATTTATATCAATCTCATCACGATAGTTATATTAAACTATATTTTTCCTCAAAAAAAGATACAATTAGTTCAACAGATGTTATAAAATCCTTAGAAATCTTGACACAATTGATAACATTTTTATTTAACTCCGAGAGTTTCCTTACATGAATTTTATATGTACAATTTACAAATAATTTTCTGTTATAAGACTCATTAAAAAATTAATATTAAATTAATTTTAAAAGCAACGTTAAATATTATGGGGTAATTCCACAACTCGATGGTACCTGCATGTGCTGGCTTAGTTCCAAGCGAGACTCATCTACATGACCTAAAAACAGTACCTCCGCCCTACATGTGTCACATGAAATGTTGCTGACTTAAACATGTGAATACTACCCAGGAATTACTTACGTTCCTAAAAAAAATATAATATTCCATTTAATTCAAATAATATAATAAATATATTTAGTGTAAATTAATTATGAAAACTATTTATTCGTTTAATGTCTCAAATGAATTATGAAATGTATTTTTTTAGTTCATCTCTGTCTATAAATTTAAATGAAGCCAATATTTTTTGGATTGTTATGCGATTTTATTAATTTAAAACTACATACTCCCTAAGTTTCGGTTACTTTGTAGTAACCGTGATCACGGGCAGTCGAGACGTACGCGAAAGTCTTAAATATCATTATATGTCGATAAATTCCTAGATCACTACAATTTTTTTCATAATATCAATACTCAATAAAGAACATGGATAAACTATGAAAAATATACCAATTAAAGTCTAATTGAGATTATATTTAAGAAAAATGTTTAACCCTGTCGAGTATTTGATAGACAAGTCATAGTATCGCGTTTGCTGTAAGCTAACAAGCGAACCCGGTGGCCATTAAGACGTTAAATGGCCTGTCCTACATATAGGTTCGGAGGTCGATGACCCGACTTGACAAACATCTGGAAGTGACAACCCTGATTTGATACGGAACAATTTGCGAAATACTACATATGATTACGTAGACTTCTAAATATAATTATTTTAATAGCTTTTTTTTATTCAATGAAATGTGTTTAAATAATAAATGAATTATGTCATGTAAAGAGAATATATCTAAGGCCGTATAAAAGCTTACTTGGAATTCTTTAACTACATATTCTAAAGAAAAAAATATATAAATATTAGAGGTCTATAATACAAAAAGCGCTGCGCGTTGAACTCTTTATTAGGAGACCGAAATTTACAACTTGAGGAACTATTAAATAAAATATATAATAAATATATCAAAGCTGTCACCAATTATTCTATTTATAATATTACATACGATGACAGTTATTGTATGTTTATATATGAAAATTAAATAGCTTATTTTGTACATACATATTAATTTACGGCACAATATAGGTATGTGTATATATAATCTCTTCTATCTTCAACATCTACAGCGTGTTCCGATCTCGGGCCACATTGTATTAGAACGGAACTGATAAGATATAAGTACATTCAAAATATATTAATGAAGATACCATTGTAGATACAGTACGTTTGTAATCAACTCAGTATAACTACAGAAATATTCCAAATACTTCAAAAAAGACTCTTAGTTAACACATAAATCTATGTATATTAATTGTCATTACTATTGGATGCGTTCGATTTAAAAAATGTATATGTAAAAAACATATTTATGAACGCAACGATAAGCCGCGGGCAGGTGCGGATGCTCCTATTCCATAGCGATTAAAGTGGCGTGATGATAATCAATATTTACTCAGTAAAATGACGTAATGAGTTTGTTTAGTAGTGGTCGTGGCCAGCTCCTACCATCACACGGTCTGCGCCAACAACCCACACACCGGCTACTTATGTAATACAACTCTGAACACCGGCTTTGGATATATACGTATATAATTACTTAACTGACTGACTACATAGAACCGCTATTAGCTTTATTGGATATTTATATTTTAAAGGTTTTATCAGTGACCGGAATTATACATAATTTTAGAACTTAATCCTGAAAAAAATATATCTGATTATTAAAAATCGATAAATACATGAGGTGCATCTTAACGAATTTGAAACTCAAAGAGATGACACTGGTGCAGTGATCAGGGACAAGTCACCGAACAGAACCTCGTTTATATAATGACACACGACAACATTCACTGAAAAAGATTTACAGAACAGCTGATCGTCACACCCCTCACTCGATATACATAGTACGAGCGATAAACGAACTGAAATCGACTCTCATTCAGCCACGATCAGCTGATAGCGGATCATGTGTGTGTAATGTATATAAGGTATATGTATGTAGTGAACTCACCGGCTGCGTTGGTCAGCCACCACCAGCAGCAGCAGACGGCCACGAGCGCCCGAGCGCCGGCCATCTCAGCGACAGCGCATCACACGCGCGCTCTCGCCGGCCGCCCCGGCGGACTGAGCCGTACGTGTGCCAACCGCCCCGCGCGATCGATGCACGCGCGCGCCTCACGCACCCTCCGGCTGACCCCCACCCCTCGCTCCTCACCCCCGAGCCCCCGCCGCCGCCCCCTGTAACCCCTCGCACCATTTCCATTTTCCCAAGTTTTCAGTGAGAGCGCCCGCGCTGCCCTCCTTCCGATCGGATCGCCGACCGCCCCTAATTGATTGGGACTGTTCATTTGCCGAATACGTTTTAGGTCATCACCGCCGCAGAGGCCTGCGCAACATTATACTGTATGCCACACTCGTCCAAGATTAAGATAACTTCAAATGCTAACGAAGATATTAACTTGACACTATCGCATTTTTATACTGCATATTCCTTAGACATTTTATTGATTAAATGAGAATATATCTGAAAAATATATGTAATTCACTGTTGATGGCTTTCTTCTATGCTTTATTCGATCGTCCTTTTAATTTAAATAAATATCTATCTTGTTTCAATTACTCAAAAAGTATTCCCAAGGAATAGTCGTATATATTTCTTACTAAAGGTATAAATGGTAATAATCCAACATAACTTTACGACCGGCGAGGTGGAAGTAGAACGGACACATTAAAACGTTCAGATTAATCAAACCAAGTTGGCAGTTGACTGTTGATGCAACTACTAACTTGAAATATTTTTACAGCGGTTTTAAAGTCCTTGCTAAAGTCAATTTGTCGTAATTTATGGTTTGCTGCAAAATGCACTTGGGAAAGTAATAAAAAAAAATTTATTTTTTTATAAAAGCAATTCTGCAATGTACAAAAACTTTAGGAGAGATATTTATATATCAAACATAGCAATATGAAATTATTGATTAAATAACATAATGTAATTTAAGATAAAATTATTTCATTCCATGTATAATTATAATCGCGCGCCATTAAATTAATTTATGGTCTTACTTGTAAAATATTATTAAAGTTGGCGATCTACCAACGAGAAAATATAAAAATATATTAAATCGGAAACTTAACTATTACTCTTCTCCTTACATATTTTATAAATAAATTTAATAATATGTCAAAAATAAAATGCAGAATTTCAGAGATACATTACAATTCTTAAATTGTTATCGATGTCCATTGCTATTAAAAAGTAATAACGGTGGTAATCCTTAGTATAAGTTTTGTTATTTTACCTCTCGACTGACAGTGTCAACGTCTCTTCATTTTAAATCTGAGTTTGACTTTACAAATTACAAACTCCTATTAAGGTTATAGGACATTTCCATCCTTACTACTTTAATCTTTGCTAACTTTAAATAAAAACGAATACCTACTGAAAAAATCATTCGTAGATATGTATGCAATGAAATAGATTGATAAGGTGTTATTTAAGACGATTCTTACACTCTTCTACAGAAAGCATTCGTAAGAAATCTAATTTCTCATTTACACTTGAAGACGAATTATTTTTTTTTTTTTTGGTGTCGGGTTGAAGACGAATTATAACTTGACAGTACTTAACGCTAAATTATTCTACTTATTGCTCTGTAAGACACAAAATTAAAATATATTTAAGACGTTATAAAAAAGCTTAACTATTTGTCTTCCCTTAATATAAAGTAATTGTAATGTGTTATTGTAAGGACAACCTTTTCTTGTAGCCCTTGTTGTTACAGCTTAACATTTTCACGTTTTTTTTCGTCATTATTGATAAACTCTTTGTGAGAGCGTAAAAATAACGAAGGAATAGGTAAAAAGCATATGAAATTAAGCACGCACATTCAAACACCACAAGCTATTAAGTAGAGGAAAAAATAGTAAGGGTAATTAAAATTATCGGAAAATTCTTCGGACCATAAGTTCCTGTTAAGGATTTTTAATTACCCTAATTTAGTATACCAATATTTATCTTGAAATGTTGGTTTATTATTTCTGTATTATTACACTAAAGGACAAGAAAATATCCAAGTGATAAAAGTTTGTAACGTCATCATTAGATTACCTGAAGTTATAATGAGTGGTGTGCTTAATCAAAGATTGGAACTGATAGTATTTGAAGACAAATACACTATTCATTCTAATCTAATAAGATATAAATAAATTCTATATGTCTCGTATGTGCTTGGCTAAACTGCTGTCCTGAATTAAATGGAACATGACTTATACGCTGGTAGGACCAACTCTTCAACTATTCTCAGCACCACAGCCCATTATAACGCTTGTAGGTACGTGAAACAAGGTTATTATGCCCTCATAACTCAAAATAAAATTATGCTTTTTTAATATTATTTTCAAATTTTATTTATGTATCAAGATGAATAATGCTACATCATTAATTTCTTTCTATTTGCATGTTCAAAAATGTGATTAAGTTGATATCACCACGATTTGAGATTCGTTGAAAAGTATTTTTGGATGTAAAATATTACAATTTCAAATGTTTATAATTATAATGATTTAAATAAAGAAGAAAAAAATACTCCAACTTTATTTTAATATAGATATTTTTTTTACTGCATAATTATTCTTCAAGGAAAATGTTTTTTAAAACTTTTAATTAATTTTTGCAAAAGAATGTGCTTATATATTGTGAATATAAAATAATTGCATACGTGTCAAATGTATTAACAATAATCAATTATGAAACAATAAATAAGCAGCATGTATCTATAAAAATAAAGCCGATCCTTACAAATTTTAAATCACAGCTATTAGGGGAGTATAAACAATTAGGAAAAATATAATAACTCACACAATAAAAAATAAATATAATTTGGATACTCACACACATATGCTATTTTTATTCAAGGACTAAATCGTTACAAATAGTGTACACTTTACATACGTATTTTTTTTAATATAAATTGTCTTGGTTTTTTTTATTATATGCCTTACTTTATCGATTTATTTTTTTAGGTTTATAATGCTATTAATCTGTTTATATAAATTAAAAGTTATGAATATATTAAAAATTTAAATTAGGGGCAATCTGGATATTCTCCCGGGAGTATTTTTATTGAATTTGAAATACAAAATACTGAGTAAGAAGTTTAAAAAAACTTTATATCGTGTCCAATATTTAAAAATATATTTTAAAATCAAAAATATTGTTGTCTTTCTTAAATTCTTAATACATTTTAATAAAATTCTGTCCCACAGTAACCACGATTATAACAAAATACAGTGAAATTTACAAAATTTGAATCTTTTTGTGACTTTAATGTATATATTTATTAAATGAGGATTACCTACATCTATGAAGAACCAATTATAATTCTACCAACATCTCCATTTTTTTCTGAGTATCGTTGTCCTTGATCGATTTGTTCCTATAAAAAATATATGTGTCATAGACAATACACTCTGACATTACGATGTCACATTTCGAAAATAAAAACAAACATTTTGAAAATTTAACAAATTGTGTTTTTAATATATCTTGTATTTCAAGTCCTGTTATAAATAACAATGAAAGTTGCATAAATTATTTAAATAAACTTAATATATCATAAATTTTTATCTGCATATCTCCTTGTACGCCTTTAAACATAATTTCTCATGAAACGTAAAAACGGGTACTATGATGTTTTTCTTCAAACTTGTGCTAGATACCCATCCAAAATAGCCCTAAGGATTTATGATAATGGAATGTACCGACACTACACTTATTCCGAAATATATGGAGCTTGTGAATATATATCTCAAAACATACAACAACTCAAGTTTTCGAGAGGTGTCATAGGGCTTGTTTCAGATAGAAACATTATTATCCCTTGCGTTATTGCTGCGTAAGTTTTTAATATTTTGTGTTATATATACAAATATATGCTAATAAAACTAAACATTGTTATTGAAACCAAAATAATCATTAATAATATTAATGTAAATATGTTCCAGTGCTCATAAATGCAGTACAACTTTTATGTTCTTAAACCCTTCACAAGATATTCAATCCGTAGTAAACAAAGTCAACATTAAGATTTTAATAACAATTAAAGAAATAGAAAAAAATATAAATATTAACGTCTTCGGCAAGGAACCTGAAAAAACTATAACAATTTTTAATTTAGAAGTGAGTTTCTACAATTTGGAGGAAAGAGGCTCTTATCACAGTTACAAATATGCCCCTGATCATTCTTACATAGCAACAACATCAGGCAGTACTGGAGAACCAAAACACATTCAGGTGCCCATACAATGTATCCAGCCAAACATAGATGATCTCACAAGAATGTTTGAAATCAATTCCTCTGATGTGATATACTTCTCTACTCCACTCACTTTTGATCCATCAATGATAGAAATACTTCTTGCATGTGTGAATGGAGCATCACTTCTTATAGCGCCGGAAAAAGCAGACATTCTTTTCGGAGACAATACTGAGAACTCTGTCACATTCTGGCAGACAACACCATCGAAATTCTTTCAAAATTCAAATGCTGATATAAAAAATAAAATATTTAGTGCCAGCTCCACACTTAAAGTGTTAGCTTTGGGTGGAGAACCTCTTAGTGGTATTAACAGATTACGAGAACTAAAAGATATTTCTAATAAGACAAGAATATTTATGTTGTATGGAGTTACAGAAATGTCATGCTGGGCTTGTGCTGCTGAACTGGACTTGAACAGAATACTTAATGATAGAGAAATACCTTTGGGCAACTGTCTCTCAGAAACTGAGATAATTGTTGAACCTACTAACAAAAATAAAAATACTGGAAAAATTGTTTTAGGTAAATAACAATTCATTTTACTAATTATTAATTAATTATATTTATGATAATCTAAATAACACATTTTTTTATTTTTATAATCATTTTAGTAAGCAAGACCAGGAAATGTTTGATTTTAAATAAATCTGTTGGAACAGAAGAGACAAATTCATTGAAATTCATTGATACTGGAGATATTGGTGAAGTGAGAAATGGAACGATTTACTATAGAGGACGTACGGATGATGTTATCAAGAGGTTTGGGCAAAAAGTTAGCTTACAGGAAATACAGACAACAATTATGATGTGTCCCAGAGTGAAGTCCTGTTCCTGCATCTGGCTGCCCAAACCCATGCTGTTGGTTGTCTACTTTGCATCAGAAACATTAAATAGTCAGGAGCTCTCAGACTTCCTTAAATGTAAACTAGAAGAAAAACATTGGCCTGATAAAATTATTAAAGTGGATAGCATACCAACAAATCCTCATGGAAAGATTTCAAAAAAAATACTACAACAGATGTTTGAAAAGTCACCACAAATTCTTCCAACATTGGACTCCTTAAGAGTTTTGTTCTTAAAAGAACTGAAGGCGGCACTGAGCAAAAATTTTACTTATGATGAAGTAAAAGAACATGATTTCTTTTCCATTGGGGGTACTTCTTTCCTGGCTGTTTCCATGTGCAATAAATTATCCCTAGCATGCCCCCAATTTGGAAAATTCATACTGCCTTATTTGTTATCCCACAATCGTAAAATTGATGACATTATGCAATTAGCCTTGCAAGAATTAGGCCTTAAAGAAATTAAATCGAAAAAGAGGTTAAGGTCGGCATCCTACACCGAGAGTATTGCATCAGGGAGTCAAAAGAAGACTGTGAAAATTATAAACTCACAAAATCCAATGGAGTTTATTTTGCTTTGGACTTATGACACTGGTAAATGTGTTGATGCTTCCCCTACTTTATTTCAACATAAATTGTAAGCTTTTAATAACTTTTGTTACTTTCCATTGACTATAGTATTAACTGTATACACATTTTTATTCATATATATTTCAAAATATTCCAGCAATCTGTATATAACAGTTGGGAGCCATTCAGGAATGATTGTTGTCATTGATGCCATCAGCGGCATTTCTCAAGGAAGTATAAAACTTAAATCTAGAGTCGAAGCATCAGTGGTCTGCTATAATGAAGCCCCGTTGTCAACACCTTGTGGTATGGTCGGTTCCTATGACGGAACCATTATTTGCTTTGCTTTAGAAACGTGTAAAGAAAAGTGGCGAATAAATATTGGCTCTATGATAAAAAGCAAAGGTGTATGTTGCAAAGGCTGCCTGTATATAGCGTCGTACGACGGAAAAGTACGATGCATTGATATTAACGTAAGTCTACCAGATATTACATTGCGCTGTAATAAAAATTCTAAAGTGCTAATACTCTGATAATGATATCAAATACCTACTCATTTATATCTATTTCAAGCAATGATTCATTTTAAATTTTATTTATACTATATATATGTCGTCTATTATCTGTTTTATTTCTACTTCATTTATTTTTCTGATTTTATGTGTGTTTGTTAATTTCCTATAAAAAATATTACATCCTCATGAAATAATACCTATTCTAAATTGTACAAGGCACGCCCCTATTGTGATTGTTCGGAAATTAAATGTACGTTTCCTTTCTCTCTTAGCCTTGTATTATTGTGAATTGTAATTTAGTGAAGATTTGTGGCAAATAGACTATATAATTCTTTTTTCTTAACAGTCAGGGCATGTGAAGGACGTGATTCAAGTATCCGATAAAGCTATATCGGCTGATTTGATGCTGGCTAAGAATAAGTTCATACTATTGGGTACATTATCTGCCGTCTGCGCTAGTATTCACACAGAGACTAAATCTATAGTGTGGAGGGGAACACTTAGTAGCCCGGTGTTCGCAGCTCCTGCGCTCTATGACGGTGATAAATACGTTATCATCGCCGAGGTTAACGGTACCATACACTGTCGGACCGTAGAGAAAGGAATTAAAGTAAGCTTCAATAAATTTAGATATATAACTGTTGTTTTAACGTATTTTTATTGAGATTATTATAATAGGTAGACTATTTAAAAAAAATGTGTAACAGTAAAATTTTATTAATTTACAGATTTGGAAGTATCAAGGGGCAAAAGGGAATATATTTTCATCGATTTGTATCAAGGAATTAGACAAACTTAAATGGCAAATGACTTTTGGCTGTCACGATAACAAAGTATACAGTTTAATTGTTAAGAATTTCCAGCCGAGTTTGAATTGGAAGGCGGAACTTACATCACCCATTTACGCAACCCCGCGAATATTGAGCGACAAGTTACTACTGACAGCGACCAATAATGGAATATTGTATATTTTAGATTCAGACACTGGCGTAACACTTACAGAATATCAACTCCCCAATGAAACGTTCTCGACCCCAGCCATTTACGGCGATTATATATTTATCGGATGTAGAAATGATCACGTATTCTGTATCAAATATGTTATGAATATATGACTGTTAAAATTATTTAAGTATAAGGACACATATAAATAAAAAAATACTGTTGTTGACTGTTTTCAGTTATTCTTTGTTTTTTTTTTTTAAATTACCATTATACATTCAGACTAAATTTAATTATATACCAATCAGAATTTATTAGAGTGTAAAGTTGAATGTTCTCATTTTTCTTACTATTTCCTAGTAATGTGAGGTTTGTATCTAAAGACATGTATTTTTATAATGAACTTTATTCATGATCTTACACAGAACATAGATAGTATAATGAGCACTCATACATACATTTTACTTATTATGATATGGTTACAAGTTGATCAAATACCAGAATGGAATGCATTAAAATGCAGTTTAACTAAACACCTCATTGTGCAGATCATTACATGCCATTAAAATCTTAAAATATTATAAAAGCATCCTTTGAAGATGAAAATATCCTATAGATAACAATTCTTACATTTTGAGTTTGGTAAAAAAAAATTGATGCTGGGAGTATCGCATTACAGAGCAATCTACTGAACTAACTCTGCCGCAAAATAATTAAGCACTAATTCATAATTTCCGAAACCCTAATGAACATTTTCGCAGTTATAAACAAATATGAATTTTAACAAGCAATATACAAATGAGAACAATAATTACTGCTCCTCTTCACCCAATTCCAGTTTAACTTTAGAGAAATCAAAATCTTCACCGGTACCACGCTTGTAAATTTTTAGGACATCTAAGCAAGTGGTTTCAAAGTGTGTAGTCGCATCATATGATTCTGAAATAAAGATTTGGCTTTGACTTCCATCATCAGTAGGCTCATAATAATCAGTAACAGAAACAAATTTCTGTCTAATTGGACCCAACAGGTCTAGACCAGGCTTTATTTCAGTCTCTGGATCATTAGTCTCAACAGTGGTTGAAACCATAGCAATGAACCAGCCCTTAGCAGCCACCTGGTGGGTGTAAGAAACCAAGGAAACATAGATATCAGAATTCCTTCCTACTTGCTTCTGAGGAATAATAATCTGGGTAGACAAAGCATCTTTAGTGTTGTTAATGGGATGATCTAACAAGCATATGCACCGAATAACTTTTCCCTTTTTGTGAATCCTCTCTGGAACATAACTGGGGTCACAGTAGACTTGTTTACATTTGGCAATTTCATTGCCAGAGCGTACTCCAATTACTTTACCTCCTTCGCCAAGAACAATCTCATCGATGGGCTTGTCTAACATGTAGGTGCCTCCATAAATGGCTGAAAGCCGTGCAAAACCTTGAGGTAGCTCACCCAAACCATACATTGGATACAGATAGGGACTCTTTCCATATCGGGCAAGGGAATCGGAATACAACTTTATACGACGGATAGTCTGGATGGCTGGTTGCTGCAAATAATTATCATCCAGATAAAGAGCCAGCGCATGACCAGTAAAATCTTGCGTGTTTCTATCTAGACCAAACTTGTCATAGAGGGATTGCATATTTGCTGTACTGGGGTCGAAGTCTTTCCAGGTCTTACTGTCTTCCTCCTGAAAATCTTGAACATAGATTAAGAAGTTTCGGAAACGCCTCTTTTCGAACATTCCCATCAGATCAGAAGCCAACGCCTCCTTTTGATCGACCGGCACTTTCGATATCTTACCACCTTTGTACACATAACTACCTTCTACAGACTTAAATTCCAAATACCGGGTGACGCCCGTATGGATTAGAAGTTTCACCAATAAGCCATTGGCCATCAGAAATTTCGGTATCAAATCGACGTTCCAATCACGACCTCGGCCGTAGGTCTCATCAGGTGCAGGTGCGTTAAACTTCGCGAACAATTCTTCTAATGGAGTAATTGATGCCGATTCACCACCGTAGTACTTATTACGATCAATGTGTAAAACCTTTTTTCCCGACACCGATAACATTCCACTTAGAATGCATTCCTTAAGGCCGGTACCCAAAACGATCGCATCATATTCTTCATCCATAGCTGTTTATATGTTTTAACTAGTTCTTGTAAGATAAAAATATATTAGAGCAAAACGTCAAAATGTCGGGAGTTAAAGAAACCGATTATGTCGGATACGGTGACGTCGACGAGTTGATTTTTAGGTAATGCCAACATTATTAAATATTGCGAAAGTACACAGATTAAAATTACTTTTACATAACATTGATAATGTTATTTGAGACGTTCCAAAAACTGATTTTTTTAAATTACCTTCAACAGAATTTGGTAATGGATATTCTTAATCTGATTATTTCAATAAAAGGAACTTCTATGAAATTTTTTCCTAATTTCCTTTTTTTGGAAATTACAATAATACAACAAATATGATAAATATGAAAATTAAAGTTAACTTTTTTAGTACTACTGTTAGTGGAGTAAGTACTTTAGTTGTTGAGGGTGTGAGTTGTGACATTCACATTTGCAACTTTGACAATTTCAGTGCATTGACAACCTCACTACAAAATTGTTATCGTGTCATTGTCAGTTGTGTCAGTCAGTCGGTTGGACTATTTGCTTATTTTTGAGTTTGTGTTGTGCTCACTTTCCATATGATTGTATTTTTCGAAACGGTCGCTGTTATTCCAACTTCTTTACACGAATACAATGAATTTAATTTTATTTCTTTTAAATTCGAATGACAGTTTGAGTGTATTTCCGAAGTCGAACGTTAAGAATGTGTGAAATAATAATCAGATGATTTCAAACCATATGCTACAGGTTAACGAAACATTCTTCCAAATTAGATTGAAAGCATCGGCAGAAAAATAATAAACATTCAGGTGTGTTAGATACCGAGATTTTAAATGAGACCGGAAAAGGAGCTGAAAGACCTTCAAATGAATAAAAATGTCAACAGAAGGAAGTGGAGAAACTCCTTCGGTACCGAGTTTGCCAGGGGCGCCAGAACAAACATACCTCTTTCCGAAAGTGAAAGGACACTCGAGATCCATCAGTCATGGAGGACAGCCAATGTTGGCGGGACCGACCAGCGCACGGCCGCCACTCAAATCAGCCATGCGAGGGCACCAGCGCGCTCTGTCACACGGACAGATTGGAGAAGGACAGCGCGCTGCCTCCGGCCCCGGCCACAGTCGGACCGGTAGTCGCACTGACTTTATACTACCACCAGGTCACCGGGAACCTGTTCCAGCTAGTGCTCAGCCACGGCTATCGTCGGTAAAAGGTCATCATTCCCGCCAGGCTTCGAGGTCGGACTCCATCTATACTCTCCGGCGAGCGTCAGTGGTAGCGCCGTGGCGTAGAGCGGTGTTCTGGCTCATGCGCCGCCAACAACCCACTGTTGATAACAGACATCTCGTTGTTATCCCAAACCATCTGGTACCAGACAAGACACCACCTAAAGATCACCCGAATGGACAAAGGTGCAATAACAAAATCAGGACTACTAAATACACGTTGCTCTCCTTCTTACCAAAAAACTTATTTGAACAGTTTCATAGGATTGCCAATGTTTACTTTATATTTATTGTGTTATTAAATTGGGTGCCAGCCATCAATGCTTTTGGCAAGGAAGTTGCAATGCTACCAGTGTTGTTTGTGCTCGGAGTGACTGCTATTAAGGACCTGTTTGAAGACCGTCGGAGACATCTTTCCGACAAGAGAATCAATAATTCATTCTGCAGAGTTTACAAAAAGTGAGTATTAACAAACAATTTTCTGTTTTTTTTTCTCTTGTATTTAAATAATTTTAGTCACTTTTTGTATGAATTTCACGTATACAGAATACAAAGTTTCTTTTAAACACTGCATAGGAAATATTAAAGCCTGAAAAATATGTTGCATTAGGATCTTTACTTAACAACAAACATATCAGTGTTGTAAACCTTATTTGTATAGTGTTACATTCTAAAATGGTTGTTATTGTATTAGTTATTAATACTGAGGCTTGCAAACCAATAACGTGGTTTTGATTTTATTCATATCTGTATTGTTTGTGATGTTGTATAATCTTTTTTAAATATAATTTACTGCGAGATTTAATAAAGTTATTACCTGGTAAAGTTATAAATCGATCATAATCTATAAAAGTTCTAAGTAATTAGTAAATAGTTGGTATTTTTTAAATACATTATTGATAATACTAATGGGTATATAATTCTTTAATTTACTTTAACGATAAAATCTACAGAAAAATAATAATATTTCAATGCGTAGTTTGATGCGTATTTCAAAATACAACGAACCGTTTCGCGCCATTTTCACATAATATTTTAAAGGTCTTCCTTTATTTCTTTGGCTTCAACACGTGACCGAATCCACAGACTTGAGTCAGTACGTAATCCCGTAAATCTTTTTATAAACTAAAGTATTGCAAAATATTAAAAATGTTTTTAAGTGGATATTCTAATTATTATTCGTTTTATTAAAGTCGTATCAAAGCCAACCGTAATGGGTACTATATTGCATCAGTAACGCTACCAGAAGTTTTCATGGTGCCAATACTATGTATGCAAAGTGTTTCTAATATAATACTATCATGAGCGTGTCATAGTGTGACTTTTAAAGATAAACTGCGAACGTTCCGTATGTAGTGTGACGATACAAACTTGTCTTAAGGGTACATATCATGTTTCCAGTCTAGTAAGAACGTTCTAATTTACATAAACCAAGCAATTTATTGATATATGTATATCTAATGTTCTACCTCAAACTTTCACTTCTTTTAATACGGATCTCATACTCTACTTATATAGTCGAGTCATTTAAGCTTCAATTAGGTAAGAATCTCGGAATTCGAGATACCCAGCTGTAAATCTGTAAATACTTGTATATTGACACCCTAAAAGTTGTCTCAAAACCTACATGTGGTAGGGCGTAAGCAACTCTTAAATTTCAAGGTAAAAGGTCACAAAAATCGGTTGTTTTCACTTTCTTTGGAAATATCTCATTCTTTGTGGGTTTTTTTTGCTATTTGTATTTATTATCAGTATTGTAGAATGCAAAATTCTCTACAAATTTTGTTTAATTTTTTTTTTATACTATGAACTGTTTTCGAGATAGAGGGCGGAGAGCGCGTCGTCACAGCATCACTTCAGGTCAACCGGTGCCACCGGTCGAAAACACGCCATATATGTATATTGTAGTTGATGAACTATCGATAAATCAATGATTATAAATTTTTGTAAATTTTTACTATTTTATTATATTTTATCATTTCTTCCTAACCTATCCACTTTTTATTCAGTATTAATTTATTTAACAACACCTGCCTATGTAATTACAGAATTGTTATTAAAAATATAGGAATTATATTTGAATTTTAACCTAATTAATAATTTCTTATATGACGAAAAAAAACAAATAAATTATGAATTAATCTTTTCCTTAAAAATATCATTCAATACATTTATTTTTATTGAAAGTAAAAAAATGGAATAAAGGGTACAAAAAGTACAATTTATAATTTTTATCGTCTTGTTCGTCTTCATCGTCGTCTTCTGGCTACTGGTAAATTTCAAACTGGTCTTCATTATCGTCTTAACGACATTTGTTCCAGAAAATCGTTCCGCATTGCTCTACCCCATACTTGGGGTTCCAAATCATGTCCTTACCAAGTTGGAACTTCATAATACGCACGGTTGAAATGTTGAATATTTGAAAGCTGCACAGTTTTATTAAGTTTTGTAGACTTAACGTAATAACGAAGATGATCGAGACTTTTCACAGATTTCGGAGCATTATACTGCCAATAAAATTGGAGTTCCACTCTAATAATCTCTGAACCGAACAATTTATATCCTCAAATGCTCCAGTTCATCAAAATTTGCCAGTTTTTCAAAAACTTTTAAAAATGATTTTTCCCCTTTTCAAAAAGCGAAGAAGTTGTGATACAGCCACTTAATGCGTGCAGAAATAAAATATGACCTGAAGTGATGTTGTGGCCGCGCGCTCTCCGCCCTCTATCTCGAAAACGGGTCATCGTAGAAAAAAAAATGAAACAAATTTGTAGAGAATTTCGTATTCTACAATATTCATAATAAATACAAATAGCAACAAACCCATAACATAAGAAATAAGAAATTTGAAAGAAAGCGCAAACAACCGATTTTTGTGACCTTTTACTTTAAAATTTAATAGTTGCTTACACTTTACCATATGTAGGTTTTGAGACAACTTTTAAGGTGTCGATTAATAAGTATTTACAGACAGCTGCGTATCTCGAATTCCGAGGTGAACTTACTATAATGATTGGACTATATAGGTTGTTTTAAACTGAAAATTTATTCTATTTTAAAAAGTTTTTATACTGTCTATCGGTAAATCTAACAGTGTTTCTTTTTATATACATATGTATTCAAATACTTCGCGAAATATATTACGATACACATAATACACAAAATATGGAAAAAAATCATTTTCATTATTATTTCCCAAATTGCTGTATATAAAACGATTTTTTTGCGACGTATCCCATCACTTGCTAATAGTTTAAACTTTAATCTAATTAGTAAATATTGTTAAAGAAATATCTTTTTTATGTTGTCATTATAAAATGACTCGTTGTTTTCAGTGTATAAAATTTTATACGTCAAATCCATATATGATATCCTTCAAACAGATACCTGTTTGCTTGTATTAGATTAAGTGCTTGTAAAATTTTGAAGGCCAGACCCAAATGTGCTAGTTCCTTTACTCAGGTGTCATAAACATTATATTGTTGGACTTTATGGAACATTTAAACAGTATTCAAACATCGACAGATTATAAACTTATTACAATTTAATTATAATCATATTTTTAGGATGTACAGAAAATTAATCTACATAAGGCATTAAGGCAGAGCCTATGAAACAATCACAATTAACAAAAAAGTAAAAACCGTATTCGTTGATAATATTGTTAAAAATTTACTAGGCTGTTGAATTCAAAACACTATTACATCTGGAACCAAAGCAAATACATATCCAAGGTCGAAATTAGTTACAAAAAGTAAGTAAACAACATTTTTATAGTTTCTTGATTACAACGTACAAACACCTTGTTAGAAGAGATACGTTTAATATGAATGAATTTAAGAGCAGTGTTAATGACCTCATCATACGTAGGGTTATTCTTAAGCTTCTATCAGACTGTAATCAATATATTTACTACTAGCTTTCCTCCCGCAGCTTCGCCCGCATGGAGTTCAGTTATATCTCGTTTCCAAGAGAACCTTTCAAAAGTATGGGATAAAAACTATCCTATGTTCTTTCTCAAAGTCAATTCTATTTCTGTAACAAATTTCATTAAAATCAGTTCAGTGGTTTAGGCGTGAAAACGTAACAGACAGACAGGCAGTGTTACTTTCGCATTTATAATATTAGTAGGGATAATGATTTTTTAACATGTTTACGAATACATAATTAAAAAAATATATATTTTTAAATTATAATTATCGTATATTCGTGATAGTTTTGAAGTATTTCCTATGTTTTTAATATTTATATATATACAAATGTTGCTGTAACAAATAAGTTTTTGCTGTCAAAAAATGACGTAAACTCATTTAAGTTAATTAAATAGTTACTGTGATAAGTGGATAGCGTTGTAATGAAAATTATTGTACATAAGGTAACCTTAACCCTTGAAAACTTGTCATATTTTTACGGGAAATGCGATTCATTTCCGAGTAATCGTTTTTATTTTATATATACTGTACGTAATGAATTTTCTATGACTCACTGAGTGTCTTTGTGTACTGTATACAGTGATTTATTTGTATTTAGTTATAAATATTAGATTAGATGGAAGTTTGGTCCCTGTGATTCTTAATCCACAAGTTATATAACATATTTTCTATATAAACGTGTATATATATAGGTATGTAACTTAAAAAATATATAAATTGTAAGTGAAATTGACGTAGGCGGTGAACGCACTATCACAGTAACAGTCTCTAACCAAACCTAAAGGCTTAGATTACAATGATAATGATATTTGTATAGATTTAAGATAAGATTGTAGACACGAGGTTACGTACAACCCGTCAGTCATTATCAAATACAGGGTGACTGGTGAATTACTATCGATATTTGAGGACGTGATATTTGACGATCTTATATGACAAAATAAAAATTAATATAACATAAATATTAATAAACTTTTAAGTAAAGTTAACCAAAAGTTGTGTAATTAATAACGCATCGTATGAACACCCTACAGATTAGGTATACACACACACTCACACAGACGCGGCAGCGGCGTAGTGTTGTATCAGCACGCCGCCGCACGCGTCCACACTTGGAACACTTGGAACGTGTACACACTTTATTTATTTATACGGAAATTTGGTAAAAAATTAAGTACCTATTTTTTTTACGTAATTCGAATGAGAATCATGTACCGAGTATGCTCCTTAAATATTGATAGTAATTCACCAGTCACCCTGTATATTGATGTGTTACGAACAACCAACACTACGGAACGAAAACAAGCATTCAGGAAAGTCTATACGTTTAATAAGTGACTATTAAATATTGATAGTCACAAGAGTATTAAGGAAGTGAAGCTAATGTACTAATAAATATTATAGCAACAATTTCATCGATTCATAGATTGCCTCTATAAATTATTGTTACTGTAATCAATTTTATGTGAACACTGGTTTGTTTTGTATTGCTACAAAATAATCCAATAAACAATCATGTATTATTTT